TCTCTTTCCTACTCTGGGGAAACCATAAATACCTTGGGGAGAGCTATTGATGTGTCTTTCAGGATTGTAAGCAATATGGCAGGCTGCCTGTTCCCCTTTTTTTTTTTCGCTCCATCGCTACCCACACTCCTGGTACTTTCCCAGCTCCAGTAGACTCCTTAATGGCTTCCAGTAGCAACAAGCTGAGCGTGCACTGGCCAGGACATGTTTACAAGGAAATGAGCCAAGGAGATCCCACGGGACTCAGCTGGCAATCTATTGGAAACGTACAAGTTCCAATAGCAGCCCAACGAGATGGTGGATTTCTGCCGATAGAAGGCAACTGTGGAGGTAATCTTCTGCCCAAATGCGAGATGGGCCTTCAGTAACCCTGAATGGATGGACCTCTAGGCTTCTTGCCCACCACTTCCTAAGACTATCTTTTTCCACGGTCAAGCAGCTCATATCGTTAGGAAGCTCTGTGTGAAGTTTAGCATTGTTTCCCTGCAATTTCCATCCCTTGCTTCCACTCTTGTTAGAGTCTCTCTTAAGTAAGAGAGAACGGGTCTGGCCCGTCTTTCAGAAGGCTTCTTGAGAGCTTACAAGCAGAATGCAAAACTTGGTAGCTCCTTCTGGGTTCTCCTACTCCCTTACATAGGAGTAAACAACTTGCAAGGAAGGGTACTGCACTGAGCTATTCTGCTCCATGGCTGTCCATGTGTCTCACATAACTTGGCTGGTCGTTTTTTTTTTTTTTTCAAATGATCAATCCTGCTGCAATTACAAACTCTTGTGCTCACTTCTAGAAGTTCTTGTGATGACTTGTAGGAGAAACAGTATCCCTTTGGGTGTTGCTGAACCAACCCCCCCGTGGTCCCAGCCAACCTGGGAGCTATAGAAATCCACTCTCAGATTTCAAAGTTGTGACGGAAACAGAGATGAGCATTGGAAGAAGCATTTAAAACCGTCAAATCCAACCCTTTGCTCAATGCAGCAAATCAAAACAGCCCCCACCAAATCCCTAATAAATGTTTATTTTCAGTCTTGAGAGAGTCATGGATTCTGATCTTTCTTCTCCATCCATTTTCTTCCTCGAATTTAGGCTGTCCCATTAAAGAAGGACATGCCCCTGCAAATAACAGCCCAGGATCTTCTAAATGTGAAACTGAAGAAGACTCACAGCGAGCCAGCGATGGACAAGGTAGTCCTAAAGCCAGGTGTTTGGGCATGCTTGCAGCTTAGATAAAATGCTTTCTAAATGACTTATGAACAGTGGGCTCGGCTTCAGAGCATCCTTCCAGTCCCTGTGTGAACAAAAGTATGCTACGTTGGGTGTAATGACTGTTAAAGCTAGACCGTGTGGGTCAGTTGCAATAGGCACCTTCCACCCCACATCTTCTATCGGAAAGATTTCTTTTTAGCAAAGGCTGGCTTAGTAACATTGGGGATTTGTCGAGAAGAGCCACATTAGGCTATGCCACAAAATAAACAAAGTATTGGGGTAACCCTTTCAAGGCTAACCACCTTTATTAGCAACAGCTCACAAAATCTTTTGCTCTCGTAAAGGTAGGTAGTCTTGAAAACATAACCCAACTCCACGTCTACTTTAGTAAAATTGGATACTAGCCTCACACACATGAGTCCGGTTGCTCAGCTGGTAGATAGTCTGTTTCCTAATCCGAAAAATATTTTTATTTATTTATTTATTTGAATTCATTAGCTGCCCTACTCCAACAGACTCCGATCCAAAAAACAAGTCTTTTCAACGCTCATTCCAGGAAGAATTTATGTTTTGTGTCCCCATTTTTGGGGTAGACTAACATAGTCACCTTTTTCAGGTTTTTTTCTTCGTTCTTTGAGGTTATAAAATATTGCATTTATGTTAAGGAACAGGGTTTCTCCAAAATAATTTGCCTTTTAAAGTGGGAAGGTTGTTTTAGATTTGTTAAAACTAAAGATGGCAGCAGATTTTTTTTTTCCCTCTCAAATCGTTTTTGGGCAAGCAGAGAGGGAGGGTTATTTTTCAGTGTCCTTTATCTTTGACGAAATGCATTAATAACGGGCCTAGATGACATGTGAGGAAACGTTAATGCCTCTAGACAAAACTGGAAAAAAAAAATCTAGCAGAATCAGAATAGAAAACTAATTGGGAAAATTCCACAAACGCTGCTTTGCTTCTTTGATCATGAGGATTTTGCTGTCACTGAATAAACAAATAGCGTGAGGATATATCGCAGTGTTTCTCAAAGCTGGCAATTTTAAGATGTGTGGTCTTCAACTCCCAGCTGGCTGGGGAATTCTGGTACACGCTGAAACGCTGGTACAGTATATTGTTTTAAGCACTTTTTCACTGGTGTGTCAAAATCAAAACCTTCATTACAGCCTTTAGGCCAGAGAACACTACAATACAACTACATAAACCTATAATTATTAATAAGGCTAAAAAGTAGACATAAAGTACAATGAAATTACCTAAAATAAATTAGTACAGTAACCGTAATACAGATAATCACCAACATTTGTACTAATCTTCTGTCGTAAGGTCGGACAGATAGTGACCTAGAAGATATCACAGTCCTGGTCAGATAGCAGAAGTGGCAGATAAGTGTTGCGCTCTTTAAAATGGGAGAGATATGGGTCTTCCAAGATTCTCTGTAGAGAGAGCAGCAAAGGAGCATAAACGCTGCGGAAGAGGAATGCTTTATACTGACCCCAAGGCCTGTGGAGGGCAGCGCATCTAACCTGACCCAGGTGGAGGCCCGGCGAAATTTCCAAATTAAGAATCGTGTTTCAGTGGGCAGAGAGTACAGTCTCGATTTGCTGGAGCTTCTTTGACAAAGATGCTAGGGTACCATTTTTGTTCTTCCCATTTCAGAAAAGGTCACCATCCCAGCGGCGCAAGGCATTAATTACCCTCAAGGATCTGCAGAGCATCCGTCTCCAGTCCAAGGCCCCCCAACCCCTTCCTCGCGTTACAAATCTTTTCAAGTAAGAAGCTTGCCCTGATGTGAATTTTTTTGGGGGGGATACAGCTTTCTGTTTCAGTGCTTAAGTCGGGCCATTTATTTATTTATTTATTTATACAATTTCGATAGCCGCCCATCTCGATCCAAGTGACTCTGGGCGGCGAATAATTTAGCGATTTTAATGTTAATGTCTGCCCTTTTTTTCCCCCTCCTTTAGCACTCCCAGCAAAGATGGTTTAGATTTCCGAAAACACTTGAAAAAAGTTGCTATTAAGAGGTAAGAACTCCGTTTTAGCATTTTCCTATATAGTTTGGGGGTGGGAGAGGCTTCCAGCTTGCCTGAAGAGATGA